AAAGACAGGATAGAATTTTGATAGGCTAGAGATAGGGACCTATCCTCCCTACCTCAAACACACACATACACACATATATACGTACCCTCCCCCACCACACCCTCCTAGGAAATTATTAATAGAACATGGATACCTTTGGGGCAGAATTACTATGCTTACTATAGCTCTGATAAATAACCATTATGTTCTGTTAAATGAGAAAAAAGTGTTCAATTTGATTTCTAAAATATATACAGATGTTGTATATATTTGTAAGCACAAAGAAAGGTTTAGGATACATATTAGAGTGCTAACCCTAATTCAACCAAGACAGTCAGGACAGACAACAGAATAGAAAATAAAAAATGACCGATATTTTCTTAATATGTCTGTGATGTTTTACTTTTTACAAGAGAAATATTGACATTAAAACTTTTTTAAAGTTCAATTAAAAATTTTTAAGGTGGTTTATGAAACAAAATTTATAATATAAAATTATACATACTCATGAATAAGAAATAATAATACATACAAAGATTACCTCCAGATGATGAGATTATAGGTACATTTTATTTTCTTCTTTAGTATTACCAGCATTTTATATTTTTTCTACCATAAGCAAGTAAGAAAGTAAATCAGTAAAGACACAGATAAACATGAATAGTATTAAAAATAAAAAAATTTAATTAAAAAATACATATCAACTAAGGAAGAACTATAATATCCCTACATAAAAAATATGAACATAGGAAGGAAGTGAAAATTCCACAAAGAAACACAAAGCATTAATAAACATAGAAAAGTATTCATTCGAATTGAATACAGAGTGACTGCAAATTACAAGATTCCATCTTTCTGCCTACTAAATTGTGAAATATGGTTTAAATACACAAATAAACATTGGAGAGCTAATTTACATGACTGATTGAATACACATCTCTATTCTCTTCTAAAACCACTGAAAACTAATATTAAAAGAACAAAAAAGTTATAAAACCTATGAAGCTGCAAAGTGAAGACAGCACAACAGAGAAGAGATGTTACAGAATTTTAGAAGGCTGGAAAGCAGGTGTATCAGTTGAAACTCAACTAGCCAAGTAGTAAAGTCAAAACTGAAATATCTGCTAGCTGGGGTTGAAAGATGCTATAAGCTGAAACATGTCAGTGAACTCCTGAAAGGCTCAGGGACTGGAGTAAGCAGGTAGAAATGCAGATGGTACTAAAAGCACAGCTGATTTAAAGTCTCTACAGCAGTGAAAAGCCAACGTGTCATCCTCTATCCGTCCCCATTGTATGAAGACGACTGGAGGTTTATCCCCCAGGAGAGGCTCAAAAAGAATGACCTTGAACTTGGGGGCCTGAAATACATTCAGGGCAGAAATCCATATAGTTAAAAGGGAGATTAAGTGAAAGCCTATGTAACAAGTGATGAGCCCATTTTTTTTACTTCCCCTGGCTCCCCACATTGGCATGAAACTTAAATAATGCTTTGATCTCTTATTTTCACACCTGCAAGAGATTTATCCATAGGGAAACTGATCATCCCAAGAGAAGAAAACCTATGGATAGTAGCAAGAGTCCCCAATGTGCCTACCTGATCATGGTGAAGTCCATTAGCTGACAAGCTCTGCTCATAATATACTTAGAGCTTTTCATAGTTTTTTATCGTTTTGCTTCACAGTATAGGTGGATCATCAGACATTTGTGGAAAAAAGCAATTTGAACTTGCTGAAAATAGACACAATTCACCAGGAAGAGATAAAACTTCAAAAATTATTACAAATATTCTCAGAGATAAGAAAAAAACATTGCATATGTAAAATGAGAATGGGTTTTATTTTAAAAAATGGCCTGTCTAAGAATAAGATATTTTTAGAAATTAAGAATTATAACGCTGGGTGCAGTAGCTCATGCCTATAATCCCAGTTCTTTGGGAGGCTGAGGTAGGTAGATCACTTGAGCCCAGGAGTTTGAGACGAGCCTGGGTAACACGGTGAAACCCTGTCTCTAAAAAAAGCTTACAAAAAAATTGGTTGGGTGTAGTGGCACACCTGCAGTCCTAACTACCTGGGAGGGTGAGTGGGGAAGATCATTGAGCCCAGGAGACCAAGGATGCAATGAGCTGTGATTGTGCCGCTGAACTTGAGCCTAGGCAACAGAGTGAAACCCTGTCTCAAAAAACAAACAAACAAAAAATCGATATGAAATATAGGAGAGAAAAATAAGAAAATCAGTTTATTCTAAGAGAGTCACCATCTCAGTAAGATGAGTTCTTGAAAGAGACAATACATTAGCAAAGAAAATTTCTCTAAATTAAAGAAAGCTTCCCAGTTAAAAGATTCTGCATGAATGCAAAAAGGTGTAACTTATGCATGTCAGCATAAACTTTTAGAATTTTAGAGAAAGGTAAGTCCTAATAGTTGTGATGGGGAATAGGTCACATAAAAAGATCAAGAATCAGACTGCAACCCACTTCTTAATAGCAATACTAGAAACTAGAAGGTAATAGAATACAACCTTCAATCCTTTTTGAGGAAAACTATTAAGTCAGAATGCTATATAAAGTTAAACTATAAATTAAACATGAAGATTGACTAAAGACATTTTTTCAGAGACGTGACACAAAAAAATTACTGCCTCTGTACTCCTACAGTAAGCTATTGCAGAGCATGTCCTAGTAAGATGAAAGGGTATAAACCAAAAAGAGGATAGGATGCTATCTAGGAAAAAAGGAATATAAGATAGAAAAGAAAGAAAATTTCCAGGATGATAGGTAAGGAAATTTCAGATGAAATCACTAGACAAAACACCTAGAGAATAATAAAGTTCACACTAGAGCAGGATTTTATGGAAGTCTCCAGGAAGGATATCTTGTAAACTGTAATTGGTAAACACTGTATATATTTATTGTATGCAAAGTGATGTTTTGATATACTGTATGTATTCATTGCAAAATGATTAAATTGAGTTGGTTAACACATCTATCATCTTACATATTTATATATTTTTGTGGTGAGAACATTTAATATCTACTCTCTTAGCAATCTTCAACTATATGATACATTATTATAGCCATAGTCACCATGTTATACAACAGACCTCCAGAACATATTTATCCTTACTGAAACTTTGCAGTCTTTGAGCAGTATCTTCCTATTCCACCCCCTGCCCCTGCCTCCAACCCCCCAGGCCCTGGCGACCACTGATTCAACCTTTTTAGATTCTACATATAAGAGAGATCACACAGTATTTGTCTTTTTGTGCTGAATAAGGCATTTTTAAACTCCAGAGAAAATAATTATACAAAATTAAATTTAATAATAGTACATAGTTCAGCTGTGCATACAATATTTACAGTCTTATAAGTATTTTGATATAGATATATTGAGAGGACAGAGGGAAGGAAATAGCACATGTAGGGGTATGTTATATATGTAGACAGAAATATGGAGAGAGGGAAGAGATGGAAAAAGGGAGAAAAAAAGGTAAAGCAAGGGAAGATAAAACGGAGAAAAGGAGGGAGCAGATAGTTATCAGTGAGAGCTAAATCATCAACTTCCATAGCAGAAAGTCAATACTAATAACCACATAAGTCTGTTATTCAGAAATATGGATAAAAATACTAGAAGGAACAGATAAAAGAGGAAACATCTACAACAGTCAAAACTGCTTGTTGGAAGAGGAACGTCAGCAAGATGGCAGAATAGGACTTTCAAGGACTCGTCCCTGCCCCTTCCATCTCCCCCATCAGAAACATCAATTTGAATAACCATCCACCTGCAAAAATACTTTTATAAGAGCTATATAAACCAGATGAGAGATTATAGCACCAGGTTGTAGCACAAAAATAAGAAGGAATGTATTGAAGAGGGTAGGAAGAACAGACTTACATTACATGCAGTACCCTTTCCCCTAACTCTGGCAACACAGTAGACAGAGATACCCTCTATTTGGGCAGGGAAGAGAGGGAAGTGAGAACCAGACTTTGCCTCAGACGCTAACATCAGGCCCACCTCAGTAAAAGCTAGAGTTGGGCAGCCCCTCCTGGTCCCAGACTCTAGGCCAATACTACATAATGAGCATTCAGACCTGCCTCAGCACCAGGTGGGATCCTGCTATTCCAAATTCCAGCCCTGCCTCAGATTCCAGACCAGCCCAGAGCCAGGTCAGTCCACAAAACCCGTTTACCCCCGCCCCAGTCTAGATTGGCATCCCTGACCTCCGGTACCAGGCCTGCCCCATGCTAGGTCAGTCTTTATGGTCCCACCCTGAGGCAGACCCAGGCCTGACACTACAGAACCCAGTGCTGGGCTGGCTCCACAGACCCAGGATCCAGGACCCAGTTTCAAGGCCTACCCTTTAGCTCCAGGATCCAGATTGGTTGTTGCGGACCTAGCCTCTAGGCCAGCAATCACACAAAACAATTTGGCAATGTGAATCAAGGATCGTAAAAAGATTCATATATACTTTGTACTAGTAATTCCACTTACAGAAATCTATAGCAAGGAAATAGGTAGAGATAAAGTTAAAACATTTATTTAGAGAAATGTTCTTCAAGGCAAAATTTATAATAGCAAAATCCCGTATTATCCGATAACAGACTAATAGATATATATTGAGCACAGTTGCCAAGCAATACATATTTGTCGAATGAATTAATGTTTTCACAGAGTATATAATAAGACCAGAAAATATAATACAGTGAAAAAAGTAACATAAAATTCTATATAAGCATAATCCTTAATACTCAACATAGACTATAATACCACACCAAAAAAAAAAAAAAAAAGAAAAGAAATAGAAAAGAGCTCAAAAGATGATCTCAAAGGTGTAGGATTATGAATGATTTTTATTTTGTTTTTCATACTTTTCTATATTTTTCAAAAATTTATAACAGGAATGTACTTATTCATACAGTCACAAAACTGTATTAATCAATATAGAGTTATAAATGTATACCAAACATATCCTAAATATTTATGCCCTTAATATTCTTGTTTTCACTAAGACTTCAGGTTTACCTTGGTCCAGAGTCACTGCCATTCATATCCAGTTTGAGTTCTTGGGGTTTAGTAAGCTCTTTTTCAGCAACCACTTCTCTCGACTTAAACAGAGCCTGAGCTCTTAACCTGTAAAAATTAATTTTAAAAATTTCTAATCTTGTGAAGCCTGATAACGTGAATGATAAACTCTGGAAAACCATGCTCTTTCAGCTAGATCCCCAGAAATTATTTTCCAATTAAAACTCAGTCAAAAATAAATGAGTTAAAAATAAATGAGTAATTCTTAAATATACATAAACAAACACAAAATGATTTCATAGTAACTTAAATTTTCTTTATAGAAAAGGTAGGGAAGATTAAGTTGGTTAGAATATCATTTAAAAATTCAAAATTATAGATGCTTCAATAGGAGTACTTTAAATATCTGCTGTAGAAAGTTAATTCTTCCCTCTATTCATTGTAAGCAAGTGTATTGCAATCACCAGTGCCTCAATGTGAATTCTAGTAACTCTAATTATCACTGACCCTGACCAACATTTATAGGGGAAGCATCCACTTCTCATACTGCCATTTCAAAGAATTAGGGGCACAGCTCACTAACCAACATATTTTCCCTGAGTCAAAGATGAATTCTTCCAAAAGAATTGGAAGACACTTTATCCATCAATGCTTACTTAGCCCTACATTGACATGTACTGAGGAGGGAAAGTCATTGAAAAACTCAGCAAAAAGGTCTTCTACCGGGAGTTTGAGTGTCAGTCACTGGTATCAAATATGTGACACTTATTTTCTTGTCTTTTAAGAAATGTTCTCTGGTTATCAGTAAAAGTATATTCTTTAACTATGAAATCAAACTCTGAAGTGTAAAAACATTATTAAAACAATACTGTCATTTTCATCATTGTCAAAAGACATTCTTATAATTCCAACTAACTGGTTGGAATTAATGTACAAAGTACATGGATTAATTCCCTAAAGGAACTTACAGTTTAAGACTAATATTTGGTGGTGACACATAGGTAGGAAAATGTAGATGCAAAATGCCCAAATCAGGGAATTACGAGAAAAGTGAAAAAACAGCAGCAATAATATCAGTCACAGTAGCCTCTACAGCAGTAGAGATGATCTTGACGACAGCAACTACCTTTAAGGAGTGCATTTTATATATACTATTGTACTGATCCTTACAACCACTCTATAACACAGTTACTTTTACCATTATCTATTTATAAATTACTAAAGTGATGGCCGAGCCAGGCACATAACTCTCTCAAGGTGACACATTTTTCACTGGTGAACACTGAATTTTATCATAGCTAGGTAGAGAGTACAAGTAATAAGGCATATTGTTAGAGTAGGAGACAAAGGTAAATATTTATAATTAGCCTTGATTTTTATTCATTATACATACACTACTTTGCTCCAAAAATGATTTAAGGTGGTTCTTGCCACAATCATGAATAATATTCTGGATAAATCTTCTCTGATCAATCTGGAAAGTGCTCACAAAGATAATACCCTTTCGAAAGCTGTTACTGACAATCATGTAGTAGCAAGGTGGCAGAACGAATCATTAATTACAATTTAAGTAAACGTCAATGTCATGCCAAATTTATTCTAAAATGACAAGCTTGTCCCAAGATTCTGAACTACTGTAACAATTCTGTGCTACTCATTTGGTATTCAACTGGATTGCCTTCCCAATATTTTTCTTGAACATTCTGAGCACTATAAACAACGGCTTGTGTACAGCAGATATTAATTCAGGAGTTTAGTTGAAGTGAAATTCCCTGGGGCCAGGCGTGGTGGCTCATGCCTGTAAGCCCAGTACTCTGGGAGGCTGAGGTGGGTGGATCACCTGAGGTTAGGAGTTTGAGACCAGCCTGGCCAACATGGCGAAATCCCATTTCTACTAAAAATACAAAAATTAGCTGGGCGTGGTAGCAGGTGCCTGTAATCCCAGCCATTTGGGAGGCTGAGGCAGGAGAATCCCTTGAACCCGGGAGACAGAGGTTGCAGTGAGCCAAAATCACACTACCGCACTTCAGCCAGGGCTACAGAGTGAGATGCTGTATCAAAAAAAAAAAAAAAAAAAAAAAAAAAAATTCCTTGGGGCAGGTAAATGACAAGCTCAGTAAAGATATATAAAAGTTAAAATTATATATATATATATATGAGATTGTGAGTAATATAGCGAGCCAAGATCAAGTCTTGCGTATTTTAATATCCCCCACATAGAGTTTTGTGCAGAGTAGAGGGCTTAGTAAATATGTGCTCAGACAAGAAGAACAAAACTCAATTACAGAACACCATTACACATTAAACAATAAGGTGCTAATTTTGGACATATTCAATAACAAATTATTAGTTATGTGAAGAAGAAACCAGACCTAGAAATTTTAAGTAGTGGGATTTTGACTGTGTTATAATGAAAAGTCAGGGTGTGGATAAATGGAAAAGTAGGACAGAGATATTTAAATCAGAGGAAAACGTAGAGCTTGAGAAAGAAACATGAATGATATACTGAAAAGATCTCAAGGAAACAAATCTGCCTTTTTGGAAAAAAAACTATTTCTCAGGAAAAGTGGGACAAATGGGTAGAGAGGTAGTTCCAAATTATAAAAGGCTTCAAATTCTAGGTTGAATAAACATAACCTAATACAAAATTATCAGGGGTTTTTAAAATTCAGAAGTGGCACAATAAGCGCAATGTCTTAGGAGGATTCATTTGAAATAGATATTCTTGTTATATGATACTAATGTGCAGAAGGTTGAATTTCAGATAACCCAAAAGTGATAAAATTACATAAACCTAAAAAGTAGGCCAGAGAGTAGGGCAACTTTCAGCCTAGAAATATAAATTGTGATACCGATTAATTAAATGAATAGATTTATGGTCTTAGTTCTGGGTTGCACCAGCTAGCTATGATAAAACATGGTGGCAGTAAGCAGGAGAACTAGAGGTGAAAGCTGTTCAATTAAAAATGTCTTGGCGGGGTGGGTGGCTCATGCCTGTAATCCCAGCACTTTGGGAGGCTGAGGTGGGTGGATCACTTGAGGTCAGGAGTTTGAGACCAGCCTGGCCAACATGGTGAAACCCTGTCTCTACCACAAATACAAAAATTAGCCTGGTGTGGTGGCGTGTGCCTGCAATCCCAGCTACTCGGGGAGGCTGAGGCAGGAGAATTGCTTGAACCTGGGAGGCAGAGGTTGCAGTGAGCCGAGATCGCACCACTGCACTCCAGCTTGGGTGACAGAACGAAACTCTGTCAATAAATAAATAAATAAATAAATAAATAAATAAATAAATGTCTTGAGTCTCTGTTTCTCTGGGCATCTCACTTGGATTTGGATTTTTTTTTTTTTTTTTATTGTCTTGATTGGAAATAACTTTGTTTTAGGATGACAGCAACATAAGGATACATGAAATGGCAGACCTACGACTGGGATGAATAAAGGCACTAGAAACCAGCATGACTAGTTCTTTTTTTTTTTGAGACAGAGTCTTGCTCTGTAACCCAGGCTGGAGTGAAGTGGCGTGATCTCAGCTTACTGCACTGCAACCTCTGCCTCCTGGGTTCAAGCAATTCTCCTGCCTCAGCCTCCCGGGTAGCTGAGATTACAGGTGCCTGCCACCACGCCCAGCTAAGTTTTATATTTTTAGTAGAGACGGAGTTTCACCATGTTAGCCACGATGGTCTCGATCTCCTGACCTCGTGATCCACCCGCCTGGGCCTCCCAAAGTGCCAGGACTACAGGCGTGAGCCACTGCGCCCGGCCAAGCATGACTAGTTCTAAAGGTGTTACAGCTGGGTACTGTCTGATAGTTTGGATATATTTCTTTCACAAAGGCTAACCAAGAAGACTGAAAATGACCCAAAGTAAATAAAGTAAAACATTGAGGCTCCTAAAGCCAGAAAGCAAATAACTCTTTCCAAGGATAATACCCATCTAACCAAAAGGTTGCAATACTGTAGTCAAATGCTAACCACTTTCAAGTAAAGGAACTCAGCACATGAGATGAGAACATGGTCAGCTTAAACTGACAATTAGCATAAAGAGATCCGGGTTCCAGAAAGATCTCAAGCTATTTTATGTGAGTAGTTTTCCAGATGGTATACGTTTTTATAATTTAAAAAAAGTAACAAATTTCAAAGGTAATACCAGAAAACAGGCATTCTCTGCCTATCACCAAAGTATACTGTGAACCTTCCTGGTCATTTTGCTTTCTTAAGTACTTTTGTTCAATCCACAAAAATCTAATGTTTGAATAAAAAATAACAAAATATAACTTGATAAAATTTAATTCACACAGTTTCTGGATAAATGAAATTAGAAGAAAAGTAGAAACCAATAGACTTATTGAACTGTTTTTTGTTTGTTTGTTTGTTTGTTTGTTTTGAGACAGAGTCTTGCTCTGTCACCAAGGGTGGAGGTGCAGTTGGTGCAATCTCAGCTCACTGCAACCTCCACCTCCCGCATTCAAGCAATTCTCATGCCTAAGCCTTCTGAGTAGCTAGGATTACAGGTGCCCACCACCACGCCTGGCTAATTTTTGTATTTTAGTACAGACGGGGTTTCACCATGTTGGCTAAGTTGTGCTCAAACTCCTGACCTCAGGTGATCCACTCGCCTTGGCCTCCCAAAATGCTGGAATTACAGGCATGAGCCACCATGCCCGGCCTGAACTTTTACATATGTATTTGCTTTCCATTATTTAATAAAAATCTCTACGGACTTACAGTTCTGAGACATGATGAAATAGCTGCACTTCTCTCTACCCCTGTACAACTAAAAATCTTAGACATTATACTTGAAACAAACATAACGATACTGTAAAAGGTAAGAAACGGAGGCCAGAAAAACAACAACATGGTGAGTTTCCTGGGCTTTGTTTTTACCTCAGAATTCTTGCATGTGGGAGAAGCTGGCAACCTAGAAACTCTAAAGTCATAGAGGAAAAAATAGACTGCTCTCTCTGTCTAAAGGATCAGGAAAGGAGCAGTCTATATTGACAGAAAATTTTTAGACAATAACTGTCCTACTGCAGCCAAACATCATGGGAAAAACTGTGGTCTCACTTCCCTCATTCCCACCAGCAAAGGTCCAGTGGGAGGCTAGACTTC